CAGAGCCGCCGAATTTTTGGAGTCAACGCGCTTTCGGTGGCGCCCGCAGCGAAAGCAGCAGCGAACTGCAAATGGTTGGCTTTGTCCTCTTGGCTACAATGTTTGGGTTAACGGAAAGAAAACACATTTCGGGGCTTTCCCAACCTTAGTGGACTCTCACCGAGCCTTCATTTGTGAGGGCGTGCACTGAGCAGCCGTGATCCCGGGCTTGTTTTGTGAAATATGCTGTCCGTTGGATCAAAGGCGTTGCTTCATCAAGAGTCAAGCTGAGTCTTGTGGAAAATGTCATGAGTTGCTAGTGCGCGTTGCGGCATTTGTTTACATTAAGTTCCGCCTGTGGGTCTTCTACGGTCTCGCGGCGAATTGGTGGAATGAGCCTGCTCTGCCAGCGGTTCAAGTTGCAATTGAGGCCTGCCTATGAGTTATTTTCCCACTTTGGTGGAGGAAACAAACATGTGCTCCCCTATACATTGACATGGACCGCAGAAAACCAGCCTTTTTAGAGGAATCTCCTTTTGGGGGCCCTCCTTTTTGGATTCCATGCCAAGTTGAAGGTGCGTAAACATTCAACATGTTGGGAAGATGTTGCTTGTTGGAACAGCAGCAGGCTAGGCAACAGGCCACCTGTTTACAAGACAACTAGCAATAGCCGCTGGGTTTCTAGCATGTTCGGCCCGCGTGGTTTGAGTTGTTTGACCGTGCTTCATTTCAATGCAAGGCTTAGGCTCAACGTCCAGCCTTGTTGATCGGGGTGTCTGTGGTCCTGATTCTTGCTCCAACATTCTGACGGGCACAAGGAATGGATTCTCATACCCCTGGAATCTCATGGGCACAATCGCCTTCATCACATTAGATCTTGCAAGCACCGATTCTAAAGAGTGCATGCCTCTCAGTTTGTACTCAAACAGGATGCATTAAGACAGCTATTCCTCCAAGAATGATGTTTGTTTTGATTGCATCGTGTTTTGGACGTGGCGCTGCAAGCTCGTCACCTGAGTGGAATTCAACTGCGGGGGACACCGAAAGCGAGTTGTGGTCATTCGTGGAATTTCATTTGACTCCGTGCGCTACTACGACAAGATCCCGATGTTTGTTTCCCAGAGCAAAATCGATGTAGATAGTGCCGCCAGGTTTCCTCTTTTTCTGGGGGTAAAATCTCATTCAAAGTCAACTACTCTTTTGGTTGCCTCTTCGCCTTGGCTGGGGGCTTGAGATGTTAGCGTTTAATTGTTTTCAATGAGTCCTATGATATAGAGTTGTCTCCAAATACAGGAACTCCCAAAAATTGTGCCCAAGTGATTGGTTTCGGACCTGTCCAGATGCTCCAATGTAAAGTCGAGATACTACCCATGGCCATGGCACCGCACAACACCAAGCGATTTCCCCTGTTGCAACCAAAATCAGCAAGCAAAACCAAGGGTATTCAGGTTCAATGAGCATGAAGCCCTTCCACACTTAAAGATCTTAAGTTACTTAAGTGATGGTTCAGTGATCATGGTTCTTCAGTTCAGTGATCATGGTTTCATGGTTCACCATGATTAACATGAACATGAACCGTGACGCTTGGGCTTTGTTTCTTCAGTCGAGTCCATGGTTTCAGCGATCGCTCGCGTGTCGCGTCAAGTGCTCAAGTCACACCTGGCCTTCCCGGGCTTCATTTATTAAGACTCGCCACGCGGGTCGGTCTCATGGCTTGGGTTTGCTCTTGGTATGGTCCTCTCAAATGCCTTGGTTTGGGAGCTTCAAAAAACAGAAGCGCCAAATAATAGAGAGGTCAAAATGGTCCTCTCCTCAGCTTTCATTCTCATCAGTTTCTCTGCGCTGAAGCGGGCCTGCGTGAAATAGGACATGGCCGCATGGAGCCCAAAAAAGGCTCAACTGTAGGATCCTCCACGCACAGTTGTCAGAACCATTTTCAAGTGCATGCGCTTGCATGGCTCTTCTTCCCGGCAAAAATACGGAGCGACCTGCACCAACCGTTTTTGTACTTCAAGCCAACTGTTGGTGGCAATGGCTTGTTCTTTGAACGTGACTTTGGGGGGAAATCGACTGGATCTTGTCCAAATTGCCCCCTTTTCGAGGAGCAAAGTATTGTAATTACATATGATCATTTCCCAGACGTGAAGACGTGTCATAGTGGCGTTTGAGGAGATCGGCCAGCCTCGTCTTAGGACGGGTCTTGCCAGAGTCTCGGCTGTGGGAGCCGTTTGTTCAGCTCCCAAACGCCCCGTTTGTTCAGCTCAATAAGTGCTGAGGCCGGGTCAAGAGTCACATCCGAGCTTTTGTGTGCCGGAGCCAGACTTTGCCAGCCTTTCTGTTCTTTAGGGTTTCCATTTCATCATCAGGGTTAACGTTGCCAACCCATGCGGATGCAGGATCAACAACTAAGCTTGCTGGGGGTTGTTCGGCCAAGCTTGGAGAAAAGGCTCTCTGCATGAACAGTCAGTGGGCAATTCCCTCTATTGTAAACCATGTGAGTTGTAAGTGTAGTCTGATACCCCATGGTATGTGGAGCATAAATGCGTAGTGAGTCATGATAATCATGTGGCGGCATGTGCTACTCATATCAATCCTATGCCATCTACCACTGCATATATATATATATACACCATTCGCATTTATGATTCTTCACGTTGGTTCTGTGGCTATACGGTGTCCCATAACCTTTGCAGATCTAGAGCATGTGTGGATGACATGGACCAAGCCTGCTGGAGTACTGGATGTCTGACATTGCCCAGGTGAATGGGACATCATAGGATGTACCTGGAGTTTCCTTCTGACCCTTTTCAATTGGGTCCATGACCAACCATTTTGGGTAATGACCAACCATTTGTTTAAGGGTCAGAAGGAGACTCCAGGTACTCACCAGGTCGCCCTTAGATTGATTTTGGCCTGGAGTTGACTTGTTCAGCTGGCGTTCAGACTGTCAGGAAACTTTTCTAGGTCCCCCAGTAGTGCCCTTTTACCCCCTTTGTTGGGGGAGGGTTCCCCTACTAAAATAGACTACAGACAACAAATGTACCCTTATTCTAAAACTTGATGTCAATTGTTTGACTGATGCCAGTCATCTAAGCATCGCCTTGCCCCAGCAGGGTGGGAGAGTTCAAGAAGTCAACATAATAAGAGGGCCCAGATAATTCCTAGCGTTTTCCCCCTGTGGTCATGCCCAATTGGGTGCGAAGTAGCCCACCAGTTGTTCAGGGCAAACCTTGAATAAGTTCACATCGCCATTTCCACTTTTGACCTGTGCCTAGCCCCCGATGGATTAAGGCCGAGGATGATTTGTTCCTCCGTTTCTGGCCGGCGACAGACCATAGAAATCGCGAGCCACTGTGCCATCAGACAGCAAGGACAAAGCGGAACTGATTGGTCGAAGATGGTCTCCACTACCCCAAACCGCAGCTAAGGGGCTAGTGGGATATACATCCTATAGTCGCTAGATAACGGGTATATAATGATATATTATACGCCTTTTGTCCCTGGGGTGGTGGTTTTAGGGTAGCGGAACTCAGTTTAGATTGAAGGAGAGTTGGAAAGCGGGGGGTTGAATCCAAGAGGAAACAAATCGAGTTGTTCGCTCACATGGCTGGACACTGTTTTGGCATTATTGACAAGCCTGAAATTTGTCAAGTCATTTGAGTATGCCTATGTTGATCGACTGATTGTCGTGCGAAGAGCTGATTTGGGTGGCAGACAGTTTCATGCGAGCGCTGAATGCCACTTGCTTGGTGTGTGTCTGTGGTGTTGTCATGGAAAGCTCAGATATGGGTTTGTGTTTTGATGACGAGTCAACTTGTTCACCTTGATTCAATGGGACCTGAAATTTGAAATTAATACGTTTAGGGTCCCCCTACTCTGACATGTACCCTTTGTGGTTATGGGCAAAGAACGACTCACTCGCTTATTTTCCCAAGGGAAGAGAGAGAGAGTGTGTGTGCGTGTTTGTTTGTTTTTGGACTGTGTGTGTGTGCAGCCACCGCAACAGCTGAGATGCAGATGTCTAGCCGAGGTACACTTGTTGGCACTCGAATATGTGTCGCCACTAGCCCCTTTTGGTGGCCATTTTTTAACAGGGGCCAACTGCTTTTGACAAAAAGCCTATGAGATGTCAGGGTGAAGTGGCTTGTGAGATGCATGCTCACTTATGTTTCCAGATTTCAGGCAGCAACCCATTGAAGGCCTAAAGGGTTCAGGAACATTCCATTTCTGGTGGTTGATGTTGCTTTACTTCTTGAGGGCATGGCACTGGGAGAAAACGGCCACCTATTTTCCACATCAATGTTGATATCTTGCTTGAGGGATGGTGTTGATGGTTGCTGTCTAAATCTAGCAATGCTTCCCGTTGATGATTTATCTTCTTAGGATACTTTTTCAACCAACCTGAAACGGGTACCACACAGGATTTTTGACACAGGGGAAAGCGCAAGCGCTTTGACCTCTGCTGTACTCTTGCAATGCGCTTCCGGAATTGTGCCGATGGCTGAAGACAGCAGCGTCACGCAAGACAGCATCTTTGGCGGGCATTGTTTGGGTGCTGATGCTTCAGCTGACACTAGGACGTTATCATCTAAGCGCAGCTAGCAGCTAGCACAAGCTTGGACGCCGCTCACACTCAAAAAAACAAGCCAGCATGCTCACCAGTAGTCGCTGCCTTTCGTCAGGAAAGCGCCTTCGAGTCAACGCGTAACTTCAGCAATGGTCAATTATGAATTCTCCTTTGGCCAGTTCAGTGGTGCATGTGGTATCCGCATCTGGCATCGGCCGTTCTTGCCAGCACCGCTGTAGGCAGCAAAAACAAATCCAGCTGACGAGTTCCGTGACCCCGATTGAACATGAAGGCCAAGTTGCTTGGCGACTAAGCACTGGCAACTTGGATGAACACTGGCTCCTTTCCACACGGCAACCCAGACAGCACATTCAAAGAGTGAACCGTGCTGTGAGTGAATTACTTGTTTCTTGATTCGCAAAACCATTTTCCAAAGCAAGATCTCACTTGTGGTGTCCCGTGGGAAGGGGTGTTCCCTTCCCGCGAGTTTCCCGCCGGTTTCCGCCATGGCGCTGAGCGGGTGTTTGACGGGCACAGCGCTGGGGGCTGTGTTGGCCCTACTGCTGCAGCAACGCGAGCAAACCCGACGAGGCGACTTATCATGGTTGTTGTTGAGAAGCATTTTACATTTTGCTTGTCGTGGTTTAGTGGGAAATTCCCACTTCACTGCTAAATTAATATTTGTTGCTCCCCTCCCAACGTCAACCAAGTTATGATGTGGCCGGAGATGGGTGTGTCTCTTTTTCAAGCGACCCCCCCCAGTTTTTGCTTTGCCTTTTTTGGATTCGCTTCGGCGCCCATCCAATAAGAGTTGGAACGATGCAGAGAAGATTTGGCCCCTGCACTGCTTTTAGGCGTTTGGATCGGGCCGTGGTCATCTCGTCGAGCGCACCTCGCCTGCTCCAATCACAGCCATGTGACAGGAGTGCCTTTCCAGTAAGGCCCGCCTTGGAGTGCTTGGAGTGTATCCGACCTGATTCCCACAAAGCCGCTCGTGCTTGAAGTTGCAGGCCTTGAGCTTGGTTCATGCTTTTCGTGATGGCTCCCAGCCATCCCCTTAGCTTTTTATCCTTTTAGTGTTTAGTGGTCGTTTCTATTTGACCCACTGAAAGTTTACAGTGGCTGGAGAAACCCGCTCCACCCTTTTACCCGGCGCAAGTAAGCGTGGCCGGGGGTTTCCTTTTTGCCTTTTACACCAACCAAAACTGTCCGCCTCAAAGCACGCCCAAATCGAACTCTCAGCTTTGCCTTTTGGCTTCACTCTCGCCGCGTAGAAGGCGATCACCTTCTGGCAATGGGCTACCTCGATCTGATCTCAGCTTTTGAAGGCTTTTGGCTGACCGCGGCGATCAAAATTTGTTTGCTTCGGGGAAAATTTGTGGAAATGCGAAAAGGGGGAGGGTTCCCCTATCAAAATGTAGACACAACGGTCCACTTGTTCTAACCTCGCTACTGGAGGAGCTAGTACTGGTTTTGAAGACCAAGTTGGTGAAGAAGTTTCCAGGCTCTCTTGGTTTCCCTTTTGCAAAACCTCTTGGTTTCCCTTCCCCTCTTCTTCCCTTCTTTCGATTTCCCCTTCCCCTCTCGCAACAAAAACCGGCGCAACAAGACAGCGCGTTTCACTTTTTGGATTACATTTTTCCCTAACCTGCAAAAAGCTCTTTGAGCTTTTTGCTGGAGGATCTATTGGTTGTTCCCACCCCTCAGTTGTTGAATGACACCCTATGTCCTTTTTTTGTGTGGCCCCACAAAAAATGGTCTTCCCCAGAAAGGGTTCCCTTTTTTTCCAGGGTCACTGAACAACTGCGACTCCCCTCTTGCAACCAACCAACGACTCTCGCGTTTCCGTAGGCCGGAGGAGCTCTTTCAGCACGTTGACGGAGGCGCCGGAGCACTTGCGCTCCTCCCACGCGCTGCACCCCTTCCGCGCGGAGACGGAGCCGCCTGGAGAAGGATTTCGCCGGAGCTCGTGACGCCGTGACCGAACTCGGCCATATGGCCATGGGCCATACTGTGGATGGACGAAATCCTAGGCACCACCTAAGAAACCATGGGATGATGATTCCCTTGTAAATACCAACAAACAATGGTTTCGCATGGTTTTAATCTGGTGCAGGATTTTGTCCATCCGCAGTATGGCAATGGGTCAAAACCGTTTTGGTATCCCATTTTGGGGTAGGTGAATTCACCACCCATGTTAGGCTTTATTTTAGTGGTTGGAGTACTGGGGGTACGGGCTTTTGACCCATGGCCGTATGTTTGTTCGTGATGGACTCCTAAACAGCCTGAAAAGTCATTGTCAGATATCCGAGTGAGGGCTCCGTGACCATGACTATCAGAAATCTTGACGATGCACGGACCAGGCACTATGTTGCGATGGGTAGAACGTTTTGTCCTGAGTTGTGGCTCTATTTGCGGTTGGAGCAGCCCTAGTCTGGAGCCATGTTGAAGTCATATCCTTGCAACAATGGTTGTAGCTAAACCATGGTCGTAGGGCTGCAGCACCCAGATTGAAACTCAAGATTTCTGGGCATCGCGGGGTACCGTCCTGACAAATGAATCTGCCCCAACAATATTAAACGCAATCGTGATTCGAGGAAAGACATCAAACTGGCACAACTTCCTTTATCTGAGTCAAGCAAACGGGATGAGAGAAACCAACATGGGGGAGTTGTGCGATTGACTTTCACACGACTGCAAGGCATAGGGATCGTCATGCCGTTTTATTGGTGGGTGCAAATATTACCATCAGTCATTCGTGTTTGAAACATTTTGAAACCAACTGTACATGCTTTCCCTGATCCCAGTGAACCCCCTTCTTCCAGAAAGGAAGCCAAAAAGGGACAGATCGCTGCCACCTGGCAATAAGATCTCAAGGCCTTGGAATCAACCCCTAGATCCGCGGAATCCAACCACCCCCACAAGAAATGGAATTGGGAGGGGGGGTGACCCCTGGAGATCCACATGTCTGGTTCCATTTTCCGTATGGGGAATACTAGATAAATGGAATTGGGGACGTCCCCACCCCCCTCCTCCTGAAGGTAGGGCGGATACCCCGAAACGAATGGACAAGGACTCACCCCCTGGAAGTATTTTAATATCCCAGTTGCCCAGTTTTTCGGGGGGGAAGGCTTCCCCCAGATCCGCGGAGGTCCTTCACCACGGTGGTGCCCAAGGAGGCGTCGCCCTCGCAGCCGCGCTCCTTCCAGCGCCGAGTCTCCGGGAAGTTCTCCATGCGCCTCGCAGAAAGCTGCGGACGGAGGAATTGAGAAAGCCCAGACACTCTTGGAGGTTTTCAGGTGAGCCACGTGCTCAAAACCTAGGTCCCCCAGTAGTGCCCTTTCACTCTTTTTTTTGGGGGGGGGTTGTGGGAGTCAAGGGGTTTATCCCCCACTTCTGTGATACAAGGGAATCTCCCCCTTTATCTGCAGGGTAGTCTTGCATAAAGGACGGATGAATTGACTAGGCCCCCCAGCCAGGTGCCCTGAAAACCATGTTTTTTTTTGGGTGGGAGGGTTCCCCTACTAAAATAGACCACAGAAAAAGTTGGTACTTCTAACCTCTCTACTGGAGGACCTAGTTGAAAAAGCACAGGCACTTTTGGAAGTTTTCAGGCGAGCCAATCAAAACCCGGGCAGATGAACCTGGCACCCCGTATGGCTGTTTTTTTTCGGTCAAACTCCCGTATTTGGCCGTATTTGCCCGCATGGCCATGATTTTTCGGTCATTTGCGTAAATCACCCGTATGAAACCCATATTTGTTCGACATGTTGTTGAAAAAAAGCCGTAAAAATCCGTATGGCCATTTTTTTTCGGTCAAAGGCGTATGACCTAAAAAAAACGGCCATATGGGGTCCCAGGAAGGTTGTAAGGGACAATCCCAACCATAAATAGCTTCGGAGATCCGCCTTCTTAATTCTTTGCATGGTTCTGGGTAGACCATTTTGATACCGGGTTTTCATTATGACTCAGGTTTTGATACCGGGTTTTGATGCCTTGGTAAATGGAAACATGGACTAAAGCCTAGTGGTTTAATTTTGACCCACACCCATATAGTTATGGTTAGTTACGTGACCCATCAATGGCTTTATACTGTGACTCACCTACGTCCCCCAGCTAGGTGCCCTTTCTCACCCTTTTTGGTTGGGAACGTTCCCCTACTAAAATAGACTACAGAAAAAAAAGGTACCCTTAATCTGACCTCTCTACTAGAGGCCTAGTTGAAAAAGCCCAGAAGCCTTTGGAGGTTTTCAGGTGTTGCTTTTGCATCTGTGGGGTTCAAGCTTTTCTCTGGTTTGTGTATATGTGCACAATAGTCTTGTGCAATCCAACACCAACGGTTTTGTGCCGATTCCCAGCTCTCCCCTGTTTTGTTTTTTTGTTTTTCGTTGGTTTCGCGGTTGGGTTGTCATTTAACATGTTTGGCCCAAAAGTCATTCACTCGCAGGGATCCGAGCCCAAAGAAGTGGACCCAAATTTTCCCCAATGCCATACTGTGGACGAAGTCCATGTCGCACCAGCTGAGAAGCCCTGGAATGATACGATTCCCTTGTAAATACCAACAAACAATATGTTTGTTTGTGTTTCATGGTTTCAAAGCGGTTGCGAAATGGTTTTCGCAACCATCCACAGTATGTCTTCTTTTATACCATGGAAGGTGGCCTCTACATCTGCTTGGGCAAAGCCAGTTTCTTCAAAGTGAAGTGTGAGGGACGCGTTCCATAGCACTTAAGAGGAGACACAAGGACACGCCTGTTGCAGGTTCAGAGGAAGGCACAGGGATACCAATCCAAAGCGGAGCATTTCGAGTCAGCTGCCTTTAGGGAATGTTTCAAGGGGTCATGCGTTGCCCTTCAGGGGTCATGTGTTACCTTCAAAGAGGGGCCATGTCAAATTGAGCAAAAGGGGCCGGACGTGGGAGACATATCAGGTTCTAGGTTGTTTGGCTTCCTCCATTGTCGTCTTTGTTTGAGTTTTACGCAGATACAACGATATTCTAGCTTTAATTGGTTGTGCAATGGTGTGGCGTGGTTTAGCAATGTGCACGCAATACTGTTGTGTGGTTTCGTTTGTGTGTGTGTGTGATTGCAATTTGTTTTGTTCATCATTGTTTGGCCTGTGTGCTTTGATTTCTTCGGGTTGCGTGTGATTCGGTATATTTAGTTACGGTTAGTTACGCAACTCATAGATGGCTTCATAGCAGCCACGACTTGGATGGCTCGGGACCGTGCTCTGCGAAGATGACCCAAGGGGAAGCACAAACATCGCATGCTTTGGACGGCGGACGGCAAGCGCCGAGATCCTTGCGGTTTTCGCGGGCTTTGACTCACCTAGGTCCCCCAGCAATTGGTGCCCGACCTCTCACCCCTTTTTTGGTTGGGAGGGTTCCCGTATTAAAACAGACTACAGAAAAACAGGGTACCCTTATTCTAGCCTCTCTGCTGGAGGACCTAGTCACTTAAAAAGCTACCTACCATCCGGCCAACATCTTGGGCTTTAGCTGAGGAAGGCAAAGCACTTTAAATGCCGGCTGGGAAGGGTCCTCGCAGGCGTGACGGTTCAAGCCCCATGAATCATCTTTTGCTGGCATCCCCGGACGTAAAGCCGCACAAATCTTGAGGTACCCTCAACATATCTCAACATGCTACTGCAGGATCTCGCCAACTTTGCATGTGTTTCCGTCTCAGGCTCGCACATGGCAACTTGGAAGAATTTTCCTGCGCCATGAAGGTGCATGTTCACCTGCCCAGCGGAGATGGTTGCTCAGTGGAAGTCTCTCCGGCCACGCCCATCAGCGAGCTGACGGCTGCAGCGCAGCAGCATTTCCAGTGCCGTTTCAAGCTCGTTGCGAAAGGCCGGCAGCTCGATTTGACGGCCACGCTCAGTGAGTCGAGTTTGCAAGATGGGGATGCAGTGGTGGCAGGTGCAAGAGCAGCTGAGGAACGTCCAGCACATCCAAGCAACTGCGAATGGTGCTTTCGCTGCCATTCTTGAATCTGGGTCTGTTGTGAGCTGGGGTAATCCAGAATACGGTGGAGACAGCAGCCAGGTACAAGATCAACTAAGGAACGTCTGGGACATCCAAGCAACTGACAGGGCTTTTGCTGCCATTCTTGAATCCGGTGCTGTTGTGACCTGGGGCGATGCAGAATCTGGCGGAGATAGCAGCTATGTGCAAGAGCAGCTGAAGAACGTCCAGGACATCCAAGCAACTGACAGAGCTTTTGCTGCGAGTCTTGAATCTGGTGCTGTCGTGACCTGGGGTTGTGCAGACTGCGGCGGAGACAGCAGCCAGGTGCGAGAACAGCTGAGGAACATTCAGCGCATCCAATCAACGTCCCGTGCTTTTGCCGCCATTCTGAAGTCTGGGGCTGTTGTGACCTTGGGTGATCCAGAATGGGGCGGAGACAGCAGCCAGGTGCAAGAGCAGTCCAGTGCATTCAAGCTACGCTGGGTTCTTTTGCTGCCATTCTTGACTCTGGGTCTGTTGTGATCTGGGGTGATCCAGAATACGGCGGAGACAGTAGCCAGGTGCAGGAGCAGCTGAGGAACGCCCAGCACATCCAAGCAACTGAGGGTGCTTTCGCTGCCATTCTTGAATCTGGTGCTGTTGTAGCCTGGGGTGATCCAAGAGCTGGCAGAGACAGCAGCCAGGTGCCGGAGCAGCTGAGGAGCGTCCAGCACGTCCAAGTAACCGCCTATGGTGCTTTTGCTGCCATTCTTGAATCTGGGGCTGTTTTGATTTGGGGCAATCCTCGAAATGGCGGAGACAGCACCCAAGTGCAAGAGCTTCTCAGGAACGTCCGGTAGATGTAGCGGCACACTTTCTCTCCCCGAAAGGAACCTAACCTTCCAGACTGCGAAGAAAGTTTGATTCAGAGAAGCTGGGCTTGACTCTGGGGCTCTTGCATTATGGGGCGTCCTGCACGTCTGGGGCGATAAAAGCGTGCCGAGTGAAGTGAACAACTGCTGAACTGTTTCAGCCCAGAGCTCCGGTATATAGTGTCCTTTGTTTATATTTTGTTAACAGCCGTTTTTCAATGAAGCCGCCTTTTCACCCAGCGTTGCTCTTCTTCGTGCTTTACAGCATCCGCCATGTATGTTTGTTGGTTGTTTGTGTATCTGTGTGCTCGTTGCTGTGTTTGCCTTTCAGTCGGAAAGGGCTATGATGAAGCCACAATTCGGGAAATGGCGCCGTCTACTTTCACCACTACTGTTCCTTTCAATTTCCAGCTGGCAGTCCTCAGTCTGTGAGTCAGTCCGTTGGTCCGTTTGCTTGTCCTCCCGTGCTCTTTGCACAGGTGGCGGTGCTAGTGGAGGTGTCGGTACCAGTAAGGCCGCCGCTTGAGAAATGCCGCGGTTCCACTTTGTTGACCAAAGCTGTGATTGTTTGAAAGGGACTTGGAAAAACGCTGGCATCAACCCTTGGCGTTTGGAGAGGTGTTTGTCCAGTCTTCGAGTCGGGGGCGGAGCAGCCGGCGGAACAGCCAGCACCGTTTCTCAGGAACGAAAACAAGATCGTGGAGCAGAAGGTGCCGGTGCGATCGATCGGTCGCATTGCCTTCGGTCCATGTGCTTCGGTCCACGTGCTTCGGTCCATGGGGTTTTGTGCCCAGAGTCGAGTCAGGTGAAGCGTGGGCGTCGAACGTAGACATGGTCTGAGAAAAATGCCCTTGAGGGTCCTTTTCACCTTACTTTGAAGGGAGACCAGAAGGTGAACCGCCATAGTTTGGATTCCCCCCAAATCGACGCAAGCACATACACAGACACAGACACAGACACAGACACAGACAACACCAACAGACACGCACAGACAACACACGCACCGACAAACGCACAAACAAGCATCATCGGACTTTGGTATCAATCACAAGCAGAGCGCGGTCCGGGCAGCACTTGTCATGTGGTCGGGCAGTGCTAAAATGGAGTGGGTCAAAGCGAGGCGATTTGGCAGATAGATGGAAACAAAGAAAATGCCATGTAGAGGGGTCCTACTTGCTTGGCCACAACTTTGTGTATCGAGGGTTTTTGCATGCGGTGGGGGTGGGGGGCCTGACGCCGTTGCGTGCTTGGCCCGCCACAATGTCCCATCACATCTCCGTCCTGCCCATGGTGCTGGCGCAGTATGCGTGCAAGTTGTGACTTTTCTTCAGCCAGGCCCAGTGGCTGCCCAAATGCCTTGACTCGTGCCATCGTTGCATCGCACCCTGCCTCAGCCTCCTGAGTGTGCAGATGACTTTGCTCGCATTCGTGCGCTGCTGCCCGCAAGTAGTCACTGTGCGTAGGCCCTGTTTTCGGCTGCTGTGTGGGCAGCCCAGTAATTCGTTTCGCCCTGCACTGCAAGGGCAAGGCACATGGAGTCTTTTGCGCCAGACGAAGAAGGGGGTGGGGGGAAGCGAGGAACTACCCTCCCAGAAGAAACATGGGGCCTGAAAGGGCCACCAACACCATTTTCCTCCAACAGAAAAGCGCGACCACGCCTTTGGGCAATCGCCAGGTAGTGATCGCCATGGTGGGTTTGCCTGCAAGAGGCAAGTCCTACATCTCCAAGGCCATCGTCCGATACCTGCGCCTGGGTCCGAAGGACCGGACGGACAACCCAAGGGCTGGTGAACCCCGATCGATTGTTTAGGCAAGGAGCTCTTGTGAACGCACCACATTTCTAGGGGCACCTTCCATTTCCATTTCCTGAACCCAGGGATGCCAGGGATCCGAATCTTTTCAGGAAACCATCAAAACCCAGGGAAACCGCGGGTTTTTGAAAAGAACGATGGTTGAAAACATTGGTTGCGTTTTCTTAGTTTGGGGAGGAAGAGAGGGAGGGCACCCAATATTCTCCAGCTTTTCTGGGGCTCGTAGACCGCCCTTTGATCTATGCTCCATTTCAGCGGAACCTGTTTTCCCTTCGTGTTGGTGGCTTCCCCGTTAAGATAGGCTGGTGTTGGGTGTTGTCAAAAGTGAAAATTGGGGGATTTGTTCCACAGCCCTCGGCAGGCCTGACGTGCCTTCTATGGGGTCTATCTAAGACCGCGAAAGGGCATCTGCAAAACTAAGCTTCTTGAAAGAAGAAGGACCACCCACCACCCCAATCTTTGGAGGTGGATATTCTAAATTCTTGGATGTGTGCTTCTACAGTATGTGGATCTCTCTTATTTTCTTTTTTTTTGAAAAATGTGGGATCGGTATTTTCTGCTCTTTTCGCTTGTTATCGAAATGTAGATTCTCCAAACATGTGGAAACGGCGCCATTCAACGGCTTGGGACACGGGCTGAAATAGAACGCTGCCTGAGTCTGAGCGCTGGATCTCCTCTGGGGCATGGTGCGCAAGAATTGACCTTCAAACAACTGGCTGACGACACGGTCCTGCAGGTTGTTTTACCAGTTCTGTTTTGCCCGCATGTGCACTGATCACAACTCCCATTTCTCCTTCACGGTTATGCGCGGAGTCATGATAAGTGCTGCTCCATCACTCATTGACACAACAGGGCCCCCTTGGGCCCCTCCCAAAATACGGAACTTTGAGGCTGCGCTGAAGTGTTCGTAGGCAGGGTATGTGTTGCTTTTTTTTGCTTGGCCCCAATTAAATAGAGAGGCCATCGGAGCCTCGTTTTGATTGGGCTGCCTTCATTGGCTTCAAACTCGTCCGAGTTCGACCAAGCACCTAGCAAAGGACATCAGCACCTTTAGCACCCAGGCAAACCCTTCTGCGGACGTCTCACGTTTTTTGAGACCGAGGATTCCCGTGGTTCCCTTAAGCGGGATGGAAAACCGCGGCCGCACTCCAAAACTTCCATTTGCTTAAGAATAGTTTTCCCCTGTTGGTTTTAAAAGGAACCTATGCTGACTACTGGATTTTATTTATTTATTTATTTTCCAAGGGGGCTTCAGCAAATGGAAGAAACAGGGAGCTGAGGAACTTCTTGGGCTGCCCCACACGGCTCTTCAACGCTGGCAACCTCCGGCGTCAGTGCGGCAAGAGCGGTGTGGAGGCGCGTTCCGGCGCGCCGGCGAATGCGAGCGAGAGCGAGACCGTGGGAGGTTTGAAAGCCCGTTCAGGTCGCAAAAAACAAAAAAAACGCTGGGCCACGTTGACCCAATATTATTCACCCCCCCCATTTCTTTTTTTGGGGGGGGGTTTCAGGTCACACAAAAACGTCACTGGGCCATATCCAGCCCGACTGGTGCGTTTGGTCCATTTGGTTACCAAGTTTGCCCAACCAGCCCGACTCAAAAGGGGTCTGTCTTTTTGAACGGTGATGTTGACCCTCAAAAAATAAACCAGTTTATTCAGGCCGCTCCAAAAGTGGTCTGAATCCCCAGTAAACCCAGGGACAATGAATCTGGGGTCGATTAATACAGGGTCAACATGAGGTTATCCACCTGCTAGGATCCTTCGCCTTTGTAATGATTCCTAAGGGAGTACCGCGACCCAAGGCCAAATAAGAAGTTTTCACCATGCTGTTCCACTTGGGAAAGACAGCCGTGAGAAAGCGGAACGTCGAGTTTGAGGGACTGAACTTCATAATTACCCAAAAGCCACGTGCGGTCGTCGCACAAAATGCGCATGCCATGCCATCTTTGCTTGGTTTCTTTAGGTGGTTTTGTCAGCGATGCTACATTCCTCTTTTTGTTGATCTTTTTTGCAGTTCGGGGGAACCCACTCCCCAAACTGTTGCATAGACAATGCCAAAGGCTAGCCTGCAAAGGGAACCCATCTTGCGAGCTCTGCTTGGCACTGGGCTTCCCTGTTTTCAGACCTACCCAAGCGACGGGACGGCTGAGGGGAAGCAGCCAGAAAAAAACAAAAACACAAACGCGTTCGACTGGATGAAAAAAGTACGTCTTGGAGTTCGCACGGCTTTCTTTCAAGATCGGAAGGCAACGGCTTGCCTAAAGTTTCACCCCCTGCCCCCCCTCCCCCCAGAAAAAAAAAAAAGAGAAAGGCCCCGATCATCGGTTGAGAAGTAAAACTCGGCAACCACTTCTGCTTAACCCAAAACGTACCCAAAACTTCCCCCTATCCTCCTTCCCCCCCCCCCCACCGTTGGGCTCCCTTCGTCCCTTCGACTCGACCGCGAGGCCTCCTTCTTTGACAGCCACAACGAGGAGGCCAAGCGCCTTCGCGACGAGTTGGCCATGGATTGCCTAGATCAGGCGGCGGGAAAGGAAGCTCCGGGAAGTCCGGGAAAGGAAGCTGTGGGACAATGAGTCATCCGGTCGCCCCATGGACTCCCGAGTTCCGAGCATGCTTAAATGGCCGTGGCTCAAAAAATGGGTAACAAAAATTATCAGTACAAGCAAACCTCAGCGTGGCAGTCCCGTGACCAAAAGCAGCAAGGGTAGGGGTTAACATGCAGAGTTCGCAGCACTGCAGAGTCTACCACTGCAAATCGCAGAGCACATGTGGGAGCCCTTTCTTGTGGAAACGGGGAATCGTGGCCTGCCCATGGGCTATGCTAAAGGACTTGCCTCTTGCCTTTGAAGGAACATGCACAGAGCGCGCACTGCGGTGCGAGTCAGCCCTCCGGTGCACTGAGGACCTGCGTTTTTTTTTTCGCTAAGTGCTCAGCTTCTGTGAGCAAGACACACGAGCACTGGTCGATGAAACCGGGAATCTCCTTGGCGAGCAAGGACCAAGAGATGCTGCGTTTTAGAAGTTTCCACCATGACACTTCTTGATCATGCCTTGGGCTGTGAAACCCTCCGCTTGGAAGAGCAAGCCGAAGACCATAGATGTGCAGACAGATTTGCGGCTTCAGTTGAACTCAGGCAATCCACAGTTTCAATCCGTGCCTGTGGTGGGCTATCCACCGTTAGATTGTCTTTGTTGTGTGTTTGTGGGGGTTCCCTTTTCCTTGTTTCTTTCTGCGGACGGTTTCGTTGGCCGAAGCGCCGTGCGACAACCCAATCATCTGGTCCGCCTTTCAGAATGAGTCAATTGATCGCCACATGGGCTCCCGAGTGATTCGGAGCATCTTCAAATGGCTGTGGGTCAAAAACATGGAAAATGGCACCTTGGCAAATGGAACCAACAATTAAAACTTGCGTACGTTGTTTTATATTAAACCGCGCCCCAGGTTTTTGGTAGTTAAAGGGCAAACAAGGGGGTGGGCGAGCTATCCCAGGATAGGCCAGGGATAAGACCTTATTGCCTTGGTTAATATGAGATAGCCCGCCCTCCCCAGCCCCCTTAAAGGTTCGTGAAAAAAGGAACCACCAATCTTTTGGGTCTATCTTGAGACACACCCTAACATGAATATGTGGCAAACTAGGTTCGGTTTGCCTGGAAGTCGACCCAAAGAGTAGCCTCGAAATGACAGTACATATGTGTCCTGAATTGCCAAACGGGAGCCGACCAGATTTGAAGGTGCTATCTTACGCATCCCACCTGTTTTTCCATCGAACGCGCCAACATGGTTTCTTCCTTCCAAAACCTTTCTTTCGAACCCAGCAGTTCTCTTTCGGACCATCCTCCCCATGTTTTCCTTCCCCCACCCACTCCACCCACCCCACCCAGACCCACCCCACCCCACCCCACTCCCCACCCCCACTCCACCAGCCACCGCCCCACCCAGCCCACCCCAACCCCCACCAATGTTCTGGCCGCCAAAAAAGCCGCGACTTGCTTGGCTTGCAAAGGGCCAAGAAGGGGTGATGGCGAGCATATGTTTCACTATCGCGTGCGCCGCGTGGGCCAAATCCAGCCTTTGTGTTTTGTTTTGAAATCAACACCTAAATGCCGTGGCCTACCCAGCGTTGCATGTGTGTTGCGCGATACTCCAGCTTTGGGCAGCAAGACTTTGTTCGCCTACCCAACCCCACCCCACCCCACCCCCACTCCACCAGCCGCCCACCCCGCCACTCATTTCCCAGGTCTTGGACTTTCTGGAGGCCAAGGGCCGCGCCACCGCCGTGGGGATCTTGGACGCCACCAACACCACCACAGAGCGCCGGCGCATGGTCCGCGAGCCCCTCGGCCCTCGTTTTCTCGCCATGGGCCATGGGCCGGCGTCGGGTGGAAGACCAGATTTTTGGGGGGCCTGTGGGCAAAAAAATGGGGCAGCTGGCGCGTGTGCGTGTGTGTGTGTGTGTGTGTGTGTGTGTGTGTGTGCTTTGTTTGTTTCTTAGGGGTGGTGGCAGAAGGGTTGGGTTGCCCTTTTTTTACCTGCCAGAAAACGGAAAAATCTGCCTGGCGTACGAGCTCCCCAAGCCTGGCAGGTGGCAGGTGTTGTGATTATTTTCCAAACCAACACTTCCATCTGCTTTTTTGCCCCCCGGAAAAAAATAAATAAACATATTTCCAGTAGTCATAGATCCCCTTTAAAACCAACAGAAGAAAATGAAACATATTCTTAAGCAAATGGAAGTAAGCGAACGGCGCTTTTCTTGACCCCTCATCCGACTAGGATGTTTGCTTTGGTTCCGACATGTTTTTTGCGACATGGGGGGGGGGGGGTCTGGAATTTTGAGAGCGCCGTTGGGGAAGTGAGCGGAGAACTTGGGAGCAGTGTGGAGAAGAGGTGAGGAGTTTGATCTGGCTTGCTGTGGGGCTTTGGAGAAGCAGGGATAGGCAATGGGCGCTGGACGAGGGAAGGCGTATTGGGCGGCATTTGGAACGTTGCAAGTATTCAAGGCTCACCAGGCATTCATCCAAGTAGAAGCCCTTGGGTCCCAAACTCAATGACAGTCGTATTGGGCCGCCTCCAAAGAGTGGTCCGGACACCATGCCTTCAGCTTTTGAGCCGTCTTGGCGTATGGGTCTTTAAAGGGTGACCCGCAGGGTATCAAAACACGACACCTGAACCAGTTTCAGACTCAGGAAGGTGCTTCAGCGAGCTGGAATCCGCTTAGTGTTCCTGGAGTCTTTATGTGACGACAAGGACCCTGCCTTTGTTTGATGCGGCCTCGCTGCCCGCTTTTTGCTTTTGGGAAGTCAACGCCGTCTATTTTTCCCGTGGCAAGGAGTGATGGCGTTGGTCGCTGCGAGGTCTCTCCCCACCTTTGAGAACCAAAGCATAGGGACTTGACCAAAGGGGTTTGCAGCCTCACTCATGATTTGATTCGTTTCAGAGGGAGTCCTTACTTTGGTTTGGTGAAGTATATAGTGATTCAACCCGGATGCAGATGAGGTGTGTTGACCAAATGAGAGACTCTTTTGGGATCTGAAGACGGCGATCCCTCAAGGGGTGTTGTCTCCTCGCAACGAGGCGATCCCGCTCCCGCAACACAGGTCAAATGCAAAACGGGACAGCAAGGATGCCGCTTGGCACACGGCCACCTGGTACAAACAACAACCATCTTTCTAGGGGGAAACCATCCTGGGAGGTGATCTTCTGGATTGGTAAATTGGGGCATTTTGGGGGGTTGATTCCTTGTCCACTCTTTTCAACCATCGTTCTTTCCAAAAACCGGATCCGTTTTGCAACTGGGTTTCGGGAGGTTTTCGAGAACGAAGGATCCCTGGGTTTAGAATGCGGAGAGTTCCCCCATAATCTTGGTTGATTGCCCATGCGTTTCTCACCGAAAGGTTTTTTTCCTAAAAAGCCCAACCAATGTGTCCACTGACTGCTTCGTGGAGCCAAGAATGGGAAGTGAGCAAAGGGTGACTATAGCTAGGTTTCAAATGTGCTGCAGCTTGCAGGACATTCTGCAGCACAATTACGACCTCAAGTTGGGCAATGCTGACTACAAGGGCATGAGTGCGGACCAGGCATTGAGCCCTGGTGTTGAAAGATGTTCCAACTTGGCTTATGTTTTTGCCAATAACCAACTTGTTAACTTTGGGGGAAAATTTAAAACTAAATGCAAAGACAAACTTGGTGCCGGCGCCCGAACCGCCCCCTGTGGTTTTGCAGTCGTGTCCACACCTTCTGTTTTGTAAATGATGATTTCGCCTCAGCGAAACGCAAATTGATGTGTTCTCTTTTTTCATGTTTTGTGCGTTTCGCTGAGGCGAAATCACCATTCACACACTCGTTCCTCGGCAAAGTCAAGTTTCGGACAGCTTTTTTTTCTCCCAGCCTTTCTTCGTCAGATCTCAAAACTGGCTACTACTTCACTGCGTAGAAGGCCTCCGGATTGGTGTTCTTATCATGTGCGTGACGAAAAAAGCAATGCTGCGCGCGTGCGGTCGAGCGGGTGTGCTTATCATGTGCGTGACGAAAGAAGCATTCCTGCGCGCGTGCGGTCGAGCGGGTGTGCTTGTCATGTGCGTGCCAAAAAAAGCATTGCTGCGTGCATGCGGTTGAGCGGGTGTGCTTATCATGCGCGTGACGGAAAAAAATACATTGCTGCGCGCGTGCGGTCGAGCGGGTGTGCTTATCATGTGCGTGACGAAAAAAGCATTGCTGCGCGCGTGCGGTCGAGCGGGTGTGCTTATCAGGCGCGTGACGAAAAAAGCATTGCTGCGCGCGTGCGGTCGAGCGGGTGTGCTTTTCATGTGCGTGACGAACAAAGCAATTCCTGCGCGCGTGCGGTCGAGCGGGTGTGCTTGTCATGTGCGTGGCGAAAAAAGCATTGCTGCGCGCGTGCCGTCGAGCGGGTGTGCTTATCATGCACGTGACGAAAAAAGCATTGCTGCGCGCGTGCGGTCGAGCGGGTGTGCTTATCATGTGCGTGACGAAAAAAGCATTGCTGCGCGCGTGCGGTCGAGCGGGTGTGCTTTTCATGTGCGTGACGAACTAAGCATTGCTGCGCGCGTGCGGTCGAGCGGGTGTGCTTATCACGCGCGTGACGAAAAATGCATTCCTGCGCGCGTGCGGTCGAGCGGGTCCATGTGCTTATCATGCGCGTGACGAAAAAAGCATTGCTGTGCATCATAACTCAATCCTGAGAACAAAGGGACTCCACAAAGCTGTTGACAGCAAAAAACCATATAAACACAGGGGTCGGTTCAGCGCGCCGGCACCACAAACTTGAACTTCTTTTTCACGGGGTGTCTCAGTTTGCCGCACCATTTTCTTTAGCTCCTCGTAACCACCGCTGCGATCCCGTTGGGCTTTTGCCCTGACTAGCGCGGCAATGTCTTACGGTGATTTCTGAGCCGCAGATGGGCAATGAACATGCTTAGCTGTAGGGGTTGATTCCCCATTCTTTTCAACCATCGTTCTTTTCAAAAACCGATCGCTGTTTCCCCTGGGGTTCTGATGGTATGGAAATGGAGGTGTCCCCTAGATTAGTGCTACATAGGTGGCCAGCTGATTTCTGTCAGCCGGGGCGCGTTACCTTTCGAGATTGACTTTTTTCGCGCCCACAACGCAAACTCCAGAGCTGAAGAAACCTGCAGTGCTTTCATTTACCCTTCCAGTGAAGCAAACCACCAGTCCTTGCAACAAAGAATTGGCAAGTACCTGAAGCTGTGCATTTGCACATGTGGGTGTGGCTCAAATGTTAAGAGCCGAACCAGGTGTTTGTCTACTTGTCCATTTCGCAGGGTTTCATGTTGGGCCCCTATTTTGAGCCACGCCAATTTGTCTCAGGGCGTTTGCCAGCGTTTCTTTCAGAGTATATTACGCAAGCAATACGGCGCATTGTAGCGTTTATAATGTGTTTGCTTTGCAACCTCGGGTTCAATGACGGCGATTCTTTCCTGTGGGGGTAAATTGTTCGGACCCCTGCTAAGTATGTGTCATCTTACCGCTGAGCCAACGATAGAACCATATTCTGTATTGTGTATCTGAGTCTGTGAGCGGCCAATGTGCCGGATTCCAAGGAAAGACTTCATGAATCGGGTGAACCAATACGCCGAAGTCTATGAGCCCGTGCAAGATGACGAGTGCAACTCAAGATGTGGCTACATTAAGCTCATCAATGCTGGAGCAGCTTTGCTGCACAAGTTCGGAGTGCGTTTTCCTTGTGCCCTTGCGACTTGCTGCTGGGATGGTTAGCTGAAGGTTCCACTTTCCAGGCCATGTAGCACAGGAGCCACACGGGCGACATGTTACCAGAGGTACCGCCGAGGTTTAGTCGTCACAGCAGGTCCTTGTCAGTGGAACAATAAAGATATGATTTGTGCTATTATTGGCATGAGTGTTATTATTCTCATGCCTTTTCACTATCATACATTGTTATGACTATAAAAATTATCATTGCCATTATTACTTTTCCCCGTGGATCCGTGTACCTGCATTTGCATAGTAGGGGACCAAGAGAACCACCCGTTAGAAACCACGACAAACATAGCTGGTTACTTACCGTATGGGCTTGCCTGGGATCCACAAGGTATGGTTCAAACCATGTTTTCCGATCTCCCCGGGCCCGAAGGAGAAGTTGATATGCCACCGCTGCCGCTCCAAAGACGATGAGTACGGCGTTCTGAGGCCGGGTGAGGCCTTGCGTCACCCAATTTGGGCTGAAACGCCGACAACCACCGGCTTCAACGTAAGAAGAGCAATGAAGTTTTGGGGGAATCTCTTAAATGACTTGTAGAGGGTTTGAATCCAATTTTGTTGCTGAGCGCCATGTTTGAGACTGGAAACAGACCAAGGGCAAAATGAACCAGGGTCACAATCAGGACATTGGTCAGTTCATTTGGGGGTGGAGGGTAGCAAGGGATAGCTTCAACCATATCTTGGTGGCTCCCAGCCATCTCCTTAGCTTTTTAGCCTTTTAGTAGTGTTTAGTGGTTATTGCCATTTAACCCACCAAAAGTTAAACTTTTACCGGGGGATCTGAGGGCAGCTCAGGTGAAGTGCTATGTGTGAAAGCCAGGCCGACGTGATTGGCTTCATGTTGGTTTCCTTGTAAAAGATCCTCCCTCAGATGATGTAGGTTTAGTGTGGACTTGTCAAACACTTCATCATCCACAGTTACTGGGAGGGGCGAGCCCTGCTCCAGTGCTGCGAGTCAAATGTCCGCAAATTATGCTGAATCAGTGAGTCTCCCCTACAGTCAAATCGACCCCAACAGTCAAGTGTCCGCAAATTATGCTGAATCTATATCCTATTCGCAACATAAAGGTTGAGATCCTAGGAGGGGCGAGCCCTGGAAGACGTGACGAGCCGGTGAAGCATTCTTTTGGACTACTGGAATAGATTTGCCGCTGCCCGGTATTTGATGGATGGTCAGAAGGCGACAGCGGGACCCGCGCATCTGCACCACCAAAGAAACGCTAAAATGTTGATTCCCATGTAAATAGCAACAAACAGTGGTTTCTCATGGTTTCAAAGTGGAGTAGGATTTCGTCCATCCACAGTATCACTCTGTTCACGATGCGGCTTTTTATTCACATCTTCATCACGGGGGATGGCCTTGGGCCGAAGCCATGAGACTTTGAGAACCTCCTGCAGGGCTCCATGTCAATTTGCAGAGGAGCAAATGCAAGAGCACCCCAACTGAGAACACTTATGAAGCGTCCCAAGCCTTCAACGAGGATTTCTTTCAGAGTTCGGACCTTGCGGTCCCCTAAGACAGGCTTCTTCCAGCGCCGAACGAGCGCCGGTGGGAAGCGCGCCAAAGCGGGTCTCGCAGGTATATCTTCGGGCTGATGTGCAGCATCAACCTCGGCCACCGGTGCATCATGCTGGCCATGGTGGGAGAGACGGAGCACGACAGGATGGGCACGCGGCACGCGTGGATGGGATTCTGGCACGTGCACCTCACTTGCACGGGGATATGTCCACCTTGCTCCATGTGCGGGTGTGTTCTTGTTGTGTGATCTCCTTGGAGTTGATGCCATACAACACATGAGCGTGCTCAAACCCCGGGTAGAAGGCTAAGCGATCCCCTTGCCATAAAGAGCTGCGGATATCCACCTTCTTAATTCTTAGCATGGTGCTGGGATTATGACATTTTTTAATTCCGGGTTTTGATTATGACTCACATGTTTTTTTCTCAAGACTTCGAACCCCGCCCAGGTGGCTCGTAGTCTTTTCGGATTCCTTTCGGAAACTCAACGTCCAAAGGGCTCTTTGAAGAGGAGCCCTTGGAGAGAGTTGGAAGGGATTCCCCATTGTTGGCAGGATCTGTGGCACTCGAAATTTCAATAGTGACGATGTAGCGGATGGCGTTTTTTTAAGCAATGAATCGCCGTACTCTCGAGTCGCTCAGCATTTCAGCATTGCGGTGCCAGATTTGGTCAATCATCCCCTCACTATCTAAACTGAAGAAAAGAAGCAAAGAATAAATGTAAAAGAAAGGACTACAGGTTTAACTTGGAAAACATTGAAGATGTGTTGAGAAAGATAAGCCCTCACACGGCTATTTTCAGCCGTCTAGCGCTAACTCTCTAAGGGTTGGACGATTGACCCATTGGCCAATCAAGTGCAACAGCCCATGCCATGAATGCTGGGGAGGAACATCTTCAATGGGTGGTGGACATGACTCTTCGCGTGAATCATGTCCAAAGAGCTGTCAATGTCAATGCACGGCTGTTGTGGGGAAACATTTTACATTTTTACTTACTGTGGTTTAGTGGGAAATCCCCACTTAACTGCCAAAAGTTATTTTGTTTGCTCCCCTTCCAACGTCAACCAAGAATGCTCTAGTAACCTGCCTCCAAGGCCTTTCAGGGCGAAGTCTGGCAGATTTACATAGAGCCTTCAGCTTCTCTCCTTGATGAATCTATAGGGTCAATGTGGTGTTTGAGGGCGCTGCCTGGGCACCCATGGTTTTGCGGTTTTGCAAGTTGATGCCCCTAGCGTAATTTACAATTCTGCTGAAGCGCCTACTGAGTTGGGCCCATGGAGATTTTGCTGCCCAAACTTAACGGACGAGATTAATACACGGATCCTCCCTGAGCAGCTGGTTCTGTTTGTCAGACTTCCATTCCACTGATGTTGATTGCCAGCGCAAGTTCAACCTTTTGTCGGCAATGGCAACAGTTCGGTCGTTTTTCCAGGAGGGGATTCACCCTGAGAGTTTGCCAGGAGTTCTGAGGCGCACTCTTTTTCTTTTCGTTTGGTGAGGTTCCCAACGCTCAACCCCACTACCTTGTTTCTGGTACAAGAATTTGTCAATAAAAAATACTTCGCTTCGAGCAATCCCCACCCTGCACACTGAAGAGCTTACGACCGTTACAACAAATTCCTCCGCATCCTGGAGACTTCGACTCCAGATTCCCGTCGGCTAGCTCAACAAGCTTTGCGTTGAGAGCCTTATCCACCTGTCTATGTGTCAAACTCCAATCTCGAGAACCAGACATCGGTTCCGTTAATAAAAGCCAAGCCCCTTCCAAAAAGAAGCCCGACGGGGGATTAAACGAAGTTGCTTGTTCACAACCCAAAGCAACACAAAAGCATCATCCTTTCCGAGCCTCAGGGTGCACTAAAGACACGAAGGCACCAACACAAAATGTAAACCCTGCGCCGTGCGGATCCACTGGCGAATGCTGGCGAGCCGCTCCGGCTCGATACTGGCCGGACACTCGCCAGGATCCACGGGCAAGGGATACTCAGCGGGATACTCGGCGGGATCCACTGCTCTGGGACTCTCAGCAGGACGCTCAATGCGGGATCCACTGGCGAGTTACTCTGCTAGGATACTCAGCGGGCACTGGCGAGCTACTCTGGGATACTCAGCGGGAGACTCGGCGGGATCCACCGGCGGGCGCTGGTGGGCGACTCGGCGGGATCCACTGGCTGGCGGGATACTCGGCGGGATCCACTGGCGAGCTACTCTGGGATACTCAGCGGGATACTCGGCGGGGCAGCTCTGGCGGGATACTGGGCGGGATCCACTGACGAGCAGCTCTGGCGGGATACTCGGCGGGATCCACTGGCGAGCTGCTCTGGCGGGATACTCGGCGAGATCCGCTGGCGAGCTGCTCTGGCTGCTCTGGCAGGATGCTGGGTGGGGGCGTGGTGTAGAAGCATCGCAAACGCGGATTCCAACATAAAATCTAACAACCCCTTCCTGTCGGGTGGGGAAATAGACCCCCTCTAAACAAGAAGTCTAGAGGCAAACGGGTGCCACTGGAGGGTGGTTCTACCGTGGGTGGGCAGTTGGGTTAACTCTTGCCACCACAGCCGAACATCAAGTACCAGCAAGTAATTTGCGCCTACGGCTGGCCAGGAGGGGCATTCTTGGCGGAGACTCAGAGCTTACCGAGCTAGGCCAGGGGACTGACCAGATGATGTGAATGCGGTTGGGGGATTCAGAATATGCGTTGTGTGGTAGTGTGTGTGTGTGTGTGAGTGTGTGTGCTGGTGTGCGTGCGCGTGTGCGCATGCCCTCGTGCGAGGGCGCGCGGGCAGGCGGGCGCAAACGCGCGTGCGTGCGTTGGGCTTGCATTTGCGTTCATGCGTGCGTGTGTGTCGGAGTATGCCTCTCTCTCTATCTCTCTTTCTTCCTTTGTATGTGTGTCGGTGTGTCAGCATGTCGGTGTGTCGGTCTTGTTTGCGTGCCAGCGTGTTTGTGCATCTATGTGTCATTGCGTCCTGTGTATTTGTTTGCGTGCCTATGTGTGCGATTGCCTGCGCGCGCCCGTTCGAGTCGGTGTTTGTGTCTCTGACCATGTTTGCATGTCGAGTACGTGCCTGTGCGTGTGCGTGTGCCTGTGTGCGTCGTCTGTGTGTGTGTGTGTGTGTGTCCGTGTGCGTGTGTGCGTGTGCGTGTGCGTGTGCATGTGTTTGCGTGTGTCTGTGTGTCTGTCTGTCTGTGTGTCTCTGTGTCTGTGTGTCTGTGTGTCTGTGTGTCTGTGTGTCTGTGTGTCTGTGTGTCTGTGTGTCTGTGTGTCTGTGTGTCTGTGTGTCTGTGTGTCTGTGTATGCGTGCGTGCGTGCGTGCGTGCGTGCGTGCGTGCGTGGGTGGGTGGGTGGGTGGGTGGGAGTGTGTGTGTGTGTGGGTGGGTGTGTGTGTGTGTGTGCGTGTGTGTTTGCGTGCGTACTTGTTTGTGTGTTTGTGTGTCTGTCTGTGTGTTTGCGTGCGTGTCTGTATTGTCTGTGTCTCTGTGTTGCTGTGTCTGTGTTGTCTGTGTTGTCTGTGTTGTCTTTGTTGTCTGTGTTTGTGTCTGTGTGTTTCTGTGTGTCTCTGTGTGTCTTTGTCTCTTTGTTTTTGTGTCTCCGTGTCCCTGTGTGTCTGTATCTCTGTGTTTCTGTGTCTTACTGTCTCTGTGTCTCTGTGTTTGTGTCTGTGTGTGGGTTTGTGCGCCCGCGCGTGTGTGTGTGTATCTTTGTGACATTGTTCTGTCTCTGTGACTGTGTGTGTGTGTTTGAGCCTGTTTCGACTCAACTAACTTTGTGTACCCGCCGCTTTTGAATGACTGGATTCCAAGACACTGGCAACCAGTTTGTCTGTGTGTGCGTGTGTTTCTTGCTTGGGCTATTCATTGACATCGGTTGCTGATTTGGATCGCCAGGAAACAAATAAGAAAGAGCAACAAAAATCAGCCGGCGCCGCAGATGTTGAGCTTACTCTTTCATTGTGAACAGAGAAACAGATGAGCCCAAGAGGCCACCCCGAGATTCTTCTTCCAATTCTGCTTTTCGGGTGCTTGGGGTTCCATCAATCTGCGGGAGAGGTGTTTTTGAAGACAAAAGAACTCCGCGCGTTGGAACGCTGAAACCGACGATACATTTTCATGGGCGTGGCGCCAATGTGCCAGGCTTGCAGCACGCGAACGCGGTTGCTGGCAGCTTGGATTCACCAGTTGGCCACGCACAGTTCTACGTTGTTCAAGGGTTCATGTTGTGAAAAAAACCAGCGCGCATGCGCTGCATTTAGCCCATCTAGTGATTCAACTGCATGGGCTGCTTTCCAGCAGGGATGTCTTTCTTGCCAAGGGAAATCCCCGATCAGTGAATTCGGAGAGAGCGAAGGGAACAACGGAATGCCTGGCTCAAGATTATTTTGACACGTTACCGCTGGAGGAGGGGTACCCTGGAATCACTACAGTCTTGATTCGGGTGTTTCTCAAAATAGGGGACCCAAAGGAGACCCACAAAATGAATGTGGCTTTGGGTCAACACCAATGGTACCCTTTTGGGGTAGGTGAATTCACCACCCATTTTAGAACCTATTTTAGTGGTTGGCTTGGGATGCTCACTGGGACTAACCGATTTGGATGTTGACCCATGGCCAGGTTGTTTTTGTATTGATTTCCTGTTGAACCAACCCCAAGGTACCCTCAAAGGCATGTTGGCAAGGTCACGCACTCTAGACAGAAGGGGACAGACAGGTCCTGGCTGGAAGCGATCGCTCGGACCCTTGTTGGGTGAGTCAATCCATGGGAGTTTTTGGTTGGTTGGTTGGTTGGTTCGTGGCCAGCGCATGTTAGCGAGGCCAGGCCCGCGCTTCCCCCCCGGCCGAAGCCTGGGGTTCAAGCCGGCCGGAAACTAGATGCAGCCAAGACACAGGCCACACCATGGGCGAGCGGGTCAACCCAAGGGTGGCGCAAGTGTGGAAAACAGCAAAGCAAGTAAGGCCCACGCTGGGGCCGCGGAGGGCCACGCAAGGGCCAAGACAGGAAGTGCAGGAAGGCCACGAGAAGGCCACAGAAGGCCATGAGACAGAAGCAAGGTAAGCAAGGTAAGGCCACGCAGGGCCAAACATGCCACGCAGGACCATGGGATTTTGTTTTTGCTGTCTGCTTTTGGATTGGGTTTGTTGGTTGGTTGGTTGGTTGGTTGGTTGGTTGGTTGGTTGCTGGCCGCGTCCCCGGCATCACCAGCCTCACTTGGCCCTGGGATTGCCTATTGGCTCTGATTGGGTGGCAGTTGGGAGTTGCGGGGGGCTTTTTGAAGTGGAGCTGATTTGTGTTAGGTGCTGCTGGTTTACCAGCGGCTTTAGGGTTGCTTTAGGTGTGGTTAAGTGAGTTTTGGTCTCGTTTAGAATTGGTTTTGGAGCGTTGCCCCCAACCACCAAAACACGACCACAACTCACTCAACCACACCCTAAAGCCGCTGCCAAACCAGCAGCATTTACTTCCCCCCCCGTCCTTTTTTCAAGGTAATATGAATCTATCACAACTGGAAATATTTGTTTTTTTGCCAGGGGACTTCTGCAAATGGAAGGCGTTTTGTGCCGAGTTGGGTCAGTCAGTCGCCAGCGTTATCCTTCGCCCCGGGTGGCTTGGCACAGATTCCCTGTTGCCATTGAATTACAGGTTGCCGTTCCCGGAGTCCTTGTGATCTCACTGGCTCTCTCTAAGATTCATGCGTGTTCAGCCGAGAACCCTGGCTGAGCCTGGAGCACCCGTGGGGAAGGAGGTTTCATGGATGAACCTGAAGCCAGAAATTCTGGCCTGAAGCAAAGATGCAGATTGGGGATGTTGGGATTACGATTGCAGTCACAGAATAATTTCAGGGCTAAAGTTTTTTTGTTTGAGCCTTCGTTGTATTTTGAGCACTCTGAAGCACTTGCGAATGAACGAAGCTTCATGCCACAGAAATGAGTATGCTTTAATTGAAATGTTTTTTTGATATCATGTTCATTCTCTTCGGGTAGTGCAGCATTCTTGGACGTGACAATGCTTTAGCCGTTTCATGGAGACCGGAGCAGCCAAGAAGGGGCTTGCAGTGTTGGAATACTTAGTTGCCATGGGCTCATCTTCGAACTTACCATGTATGTTTGGCTGACTTGCTGCAACTTAGCATGGAACCCAAGCCGCGCGCAAAGGAGTTTGCTCAACGGTTTGTTGTCCATATTCATCTACAGAGGAGGAAGGAATCAACCAAATCCCAACCATTGCAATATTTCTAATATAACATGCTCCCCTTTAGGTGAGCTACCCTGAGTTTAGAGGGGGCTTCCTGATCGGCGAGATCCTGCGTTCCAAGCTAGCTGCGTTGTTCCGTAGGGCTTGATCCATCGAGGTCCAAGGACCTGTTTAGGGTTGGCTTTGGGAAATCCAAGATAAACCACCCATTTTTGGTGTTCTCATGGTTGTTTTTGGGAAGCATTTTGCATTGTTGCTTATTGTGGTTTAGTGGGAAATCCCCACTGAACTGCTCTCCTTCCAACGTCAACCAAGTTCTCCTTGGAGACAAAGCCGATTCTCGACACCAGGCCTGGTGGCCGAGCGCGAACGCGTAGCTGGCAAGCCCGTGCTGGCAGCCCGAAGCGAACTTACAATGGGTTTGTGACTCTTTGTTGAACGCCGTTTTCAGGTTGATTTGAAGAGCAACCAACAAAAATAAAGCCCTTCTTTTTGTTTCCTTATTTTGTTTCAGGGGGGGTTCCCCCTACTTTGACACAATACCCATATGTGTGATGTTTTTCCACAACTGACCCGTTGGACCACCCACCATTTTGCCTTGGAGTCTCCAGTTGAAGTGACATCCTCAGAAATTACAATTGGGTTTGTGTGTGTGTGTTCTAGGGCATCCTTTTCAGGTTGGTTGAAAGGGAAACAACCGAAACATATGGACGCAACCCAAAAGTAATTTAGAGACCCCTGCAAAATGTTCACTTTAATTGACACAGCCTTCCCCATGATGGAGTTGGTTGGGATTGTTTAAAATGATATGCCATGCTTGATTTTACATTTATCCCGGATTTATCCCAATTAACCACAAGTTGTTTAGCTGGGGGCTGAAGATGAGGTAGCGTTGGTGAATATAATAGGAGTTGTTTATTCATGGATCATCATTCTGAGCAGCCACGTAAACTTGTATGTTGGTTGTGCAAACGACTCAATGTGTTTTTTGGTTGGCTTTTTTGGAGTGTCCCCAGGTGTCAAACCTGCTCCGGACACCATTGCCATCAGAAAATAGCATCATGTTTTTGCAAGGGTTAGACGTTCGAAATGCCTCTTGGTAGTTTGCTTGATGTTAACCTGAATCACCTTGAGCGGAGGATATCGAGCATATCCGTGCTACCTTTTTTTCCCTAATTCTCAAAGCTGAGCGAGTGCCCGAGCACCAAAAGGTGGTGAGATCCCCAATCCTTTACCCGGATCAGTGCTGCAGACTGGAAGCTTTAGACTCACATTCATAGGTCTCCTTTTTGGTTGTTTTGCTTAAACAAATAGGCGATTCCAGGTTTACCTGGCTCAATCATCTACCAGGGACATTTCTATTTTCCAAAAAGGACACCTATGGTGACATTGCGGCCTGTAAGTTCATGGGGCTTTGAAGGAAGCTGACCTTCTGAAGCTAGGTCCCCCAGTGCCCTTTTTAACCCCTTTTGTGGTTGGGAGATTCGGTTCCCCTACTAAAATAGACAGAAACATATCGGGTACCAACTTATTCTAACCTCCAAAACTGGAGGACCTAGACAACAGCACTTGCGCCACGGAGATGTTACAAGTTAAAGCTAGATTATGGGATGAAGGATGCTTGGGGCTGCTTCAATTGCCCTTCCTCCAACTCTAGTCTAACTTGCTTGTCGTTGGCAATTTCCCTGACTTCAGATTAGCGGGCGTACACATTTCGACCGGTCTTGAAAGCAACACGCTTTGACCTTCAGTGGTCAGGAGTCAAATGACCATCTCTGTGGAAACTGCATCACAGTTTGCCTCTTCCCTTTCTGTGCTGCAGACGGGATAGCTTGAAGGCTTGACACGTCCAGCTCGGGTGGATGTCCGTCGGACCACGTGAGATTTCGTAGGGACATTCGGGGGCTCACGTTTCCGCCAAAACCTTGGGGGATTCTTCATGGTAGCAGCATAGTGTGACTGCTTCCGTGTCAATCCAGCCGCAAAGCAAGATACATCGCTCTCGGCCAGATATATGTATCTGTATATATATATATATATGTATAAATATGTACACGCACCCCGAGAGACTCTGGGATTCACGAACCATATGGTGCTCCTGCTCAGTTTTGCAACCAGGGTCCTGGTTTCTCTCAAGGGACCGGTTGGGTGTGTGTAGAATGCCCTAAAACCCCTTAGTTCTTGCTATTGACTCCTAGTGAGTCAGACACCCTTCAACCAAATCTAAGCTTGATGCCTGCTTGAAGCAATGCGACTGTGGGCAACAGCAGCCCCCTGTTGCCATGTGTTTTTTTTTTTTTGCATGCCCCTGTTGTTTGATCCATCACTCCTGTCCCTTTGTTTTGGATATCACATGACCAATCGTTGGTTCAATCGGTTTCCACAGTTTGATTTTGGGAATTACGCACGCGTCACCAAAAGGATCGAAAAGAACACCTCAATGACAGACTTCAATGCTGCAGATCTCTTATGACTCAAGTTCAACGTCCCTTGTCACCATTTGGAGATCCCAACCGGAGGGCTGCCGGTTCCTCTTAAAAAGCATAAAATTAAAGCCCTGGTCACATTTTTTTGCGGCCGTTGGCCGAATGGGCTCCGTCTTGGACGACCTTTTCTGGATGGGGCGTTCCTTTCATTTCACCGAAGCAAGGCCCTCCGTTCCTCGCGGAATCCGCCGGTCCGGACATTGGTCAACCCGAAGCTGGCTAGGTCCCCCAAAAGGTGCCCTTCTCTCCCCCTTTTTTTGTTGGGAGATTCGGTTCCCCTGCTAAAATAGAATACAGAACAAAGAAGAAGAGGGAAAAATCCACGGGTACCCTATTCCAACTCCAAAACTGGAGGACCAAAACTGGAAAAAATCGAAGCTCCGAGGTGATGTGCGGCACCCTGACGCGGCACTTGCAGACCGTGGAGGCCCTGAAGGCCGGATCCGATCGATCCGTCTCCGGGCGGGTTGGAAGCCTCCCCAGCTGGAGTCTCCCGAATTGGACCCGAAATAAAACTGGTGGTCATTGCCCAAAATAATGGTTGGTCATGGACACATTTTGATTTTGGGTCATGGAGACTCCAGGCACCCCCTTTTTTAGAGCGGGTGTTGGTGGGGATGTGAGAACGCCCTCTTTTTTTGTCCGCGAGAGAGAGAGAGAGAGAGAAACAGCAAATTTCTGGCGTGCGAAGTGGATCGTGTTTTTGTTTTTTTCAATCATCAATTCGAGTGCAGCTGGGGGATGTAGATGACTGTTTGCAGACTTGAGCCCCGTGCAGAAAATTCCACCCTTCGGGTCCAACTTCTTGTTTGATGGTTTTACCACCCATGAAATCGATCCCAAGAAATATACCCAAAGGAAGCCAAAACACGGGACAAAGTCTACCTTGAACACTGTCCAAACTCCCCCCACCCTTTTTTAACACCCAGCAAAACAAACAAACAAACTGGTATTCACATAGCACACCCCCATTTTTACACCCAGAAGGACAACAACAAACTGATACAGTCCCTTGAGGTTCACCTAGGACAGTCCAACACGGGGGGGGCAACACGCAGGGCCCGCCCCGAGCTCAGGCAGTCGCCTGCTCAGACTCAGGCAGGACATCACGCACTGCCGGGCCCTCGGGCGGCTAGGAAGCCTTGGAACAACTCAGCCAACGTTCTGGGGGTAACTTCCCCATCTCAGTTGTCCAAAGCCGACCTTTTGACCTTTTGGTTTTCCCATTTTGGTCCATTTTTAGTAGAGGTGCCAAAAGGTTAACCTTTTAGTTCTGGGTCCTTTGGGCAACTTCCCCATTCTTTCCAGATCCTTCTTTCTAGAAAACCACACAAAAAACCGAGGAAATGGCTGGAATGTTCTGGGGGTTGAGTCCGATTCCATTATGTTCAACCATTCTTTTCAACACCCAGCTGTTTCCAGGGGTTTTTGATGGTTCCCTGAAAAGAAGGATCCCTGCAAAGAATGGGGAAGGTACCATTAGACATGTTTTATGCTTCGGGTTGTTTTATCCCTGCAAATCCTTCGCGAAGAGAAACTTATGATAGTTTGAGAGAATCACTATGTAAACGCAAACACATAGGCCAACTAATGCACAGTGTAGCCAGGGGTCAGCAGCCTTTCCCAGCAGCAACAGACACTACCACCAGCACCAGCACCAGCACCAGCACCAGCACCAGCACCAGCACCAGCACCAGCACCACCACCACCACCACCACCACCACAGCAACAAGCACAACACCCACCACAGCAATGATTTCAAGGGAAACTACTGTAATATGAACCAAGCATTTGGAGGGGTTCTAGTTTTGACAGCTACCCACATGAATTTTCTGAAATTGGGAAGGAGGCGTCCTCAGAGGTTCTAGCCAGAATGCTGGCAAAGGACGTCCATGCGGTTGATAGCGGACTTTGGTGAGGCAAAGACTAGGAGAGGTTCATGGTGCAAGGCAGCAAAACTGTCCAGTCATCCTTTGTCATTGTAAGGTGGGAGGCAGGTGGTGAGCCGCTGTAAAGAGTGTGGAAGTGTGATCGTTCCTTGACGCCTGATGTAAAGCTGGCGGTGAGAGGTTGACCGCATCAGAGTTGGAAGTCAGCAGGCAAGCGACCCTTGGCTTCAACGCAAGAGCTGCGTGAACACCAATTACGAGAGGTTGACTTGCCAAAACAAAGCATGCGCACGATTGTATGCCCACGATTGCGAATTCTCTGAACAAGGTGTTGCGAAGGAGAACTAAGGACAGATGCTGGCCATTGCTCAAATTAGAGTGACCAGAGAGCGGACACGCCATTTGACATGTGGGTATGGGTCAAAATTTAACCACCAGAGGACCGCAGGTTTTAGTCTCATGTTCTATTTACGGGGGTTCCATTTTGGGTGCCTATTTTTGACCCACAGCCATGTTGTGCCAGAGCCGGTGGTAGACTTAAAGCCTCATGGTCGCCTTGAGGCTCTAGGTTCTGCAGCGCAAAACCAGCGGCGGCAGTGGAACGTATACCATCGTTTCTGCAGCGTCTTTGAGTCAGTTCTGTGAATTCTCCTGGAACCTCATGCATCCTTCAGAACATTTGCAGCGCCTTGGCTCCACACGAGCCATGTTTGAGAGTCTTGCAAGATTCCTCCAACAGACAGATTAGACAGCTTTCAAAATTGGCAGACAGATAGCAAGAATCAGTGGATTGGAAGGTGAGAGTTTTGAATTCGCAGTTCCTCTTCAAAAGAACAGAAGGCAACCAGGCAACCCACAACCACAAAATCACCAAGGGGGCAGGGCTAATTTTTATGCGGAGCCTCCTATTAAGATTAAGTTTCAAGGTAGAAATCCTTTGGCTCACGGATCACTTTGGCCAAGGATTCCTTGCGTTGGGTGCTTTCGGACGGCCCCAAACTCTCCCATAGGGGTGCTATATGAAGCGTGCACGTCTGATTGTCCAATGGATGTAATAGATATACACATATAATACGTATATAATTGCACCCGCCAGCTTCCTTTTTGGGGAAAGGTTGGGGCAAGTCTATTTGATAATCATTGTAGCAGCATTACATTAATATCAGGGCAATGCCCCAGCGTTCAGTGTTTATACCATCTTACATCTCCATTTCAGGCATAACATAGGCCAGTTCTTTCTTTACTCTAAAACAGAACAGACAATTCTGGCTTAGGGGCAAGCTCTTTGGGGAAGCCTAGAAAAAAGGCATAACTCGAGCCTACAGACCCGAAATTAACAAATTTACAGTTGTTTCCGTAGTGGCTTGCGTTAAATATGTCAGCACATATTTGTTGGATCATGCTGAAATGGCCATGATTCTTTAGCAGGGAACCACCTCATAAGTGATTGGTGGACGTGAATCCCGACCTAAATGATGTCCACACAATGAATTTCCCTCAAAATTCATGCCCACCAATGAATTTCCCTCAAAATTCATGCCCACCAATGAATTTCCCTCAAAATTCATACCCGCCAATGAAATTCCCTCAAAATTCACACCCAAATGACCAAGAAAAGTGCATCACATTCTCGCTTAGCAAACAAGCCCTGGCAGTTTCTCGGGCGGGGAAACGCCCACGCAGTGGCGAAGCCGCGCTGAGGTCTTAAAGCTTCAGCGCCTCAACGAGCTCTGCGCGGGCGCATTGGACAGCCACTCCTACAAGGATCGATGTCCGGTCCGGGATCCACGGGAACGGCGGGGATGTGCGACATGGACAAGCCCTATGTCTGCAATCATATATCTCCATTGCTTATAATATACTGAGATTATATATTGTTCATATATATATATATAATGCATATTAACTGTATATTCGTTGTGCGGAAAATAGAAACCAGCCAGATCGACGTATGTGGTTGATTCATATTGCCCCCCCTCCACCCCGCAAAGCAAAAAAACAACAACAAGAAGACACATAAGAACAAGTTGGTTTGCCCTTCGGTGTCGCCTTTCAAGCCAGCCAACACAGGGCGCCCTCAACTCAATAACAAATTCCCCTATCGTGTGGCTTCTATTAAGGCGCATCACTCAAGCCTGTTAGCAAGTGCTTCGATTTGGCAACCATAGGGGGTCCGCCAAACACCGTTTCCGATAATGTTGACTCCGGATTAATCAAGATTTGTTTATTAATGTGAAAGTGTCCCTGGTTTTAGTGGGGATTTATCACTTTTGGAGGGGAACACCCCCATATTAATAGACAGGGGTTTATGAATCCGGGGTCAACTTTTGTATCGAGGCAAGCACGCGGACGACGATGTGTTGCGAGAACTGGCAGATGCTCAAAGCCTTGGCTTTATCTCGGAATCTCAACTAGGTCCCCCCGTACTGCCCGTTTTAACCCCTTTTTTGCGGGGAGGGTTCCCGTAGTAAAATAGACCACAGACAGAGAAAGGGTACCCTTATTCTAACCTCCAAAACTGGAGGACCTAAACGAAGATACTTAGTGTTCCATGGGTTTCTTCTTAAACCAACGGGTCCCAAACTGGGCGCGCTTAAGAAAGACACTACAAGCAAAGCCAACGAAACTTTGCACTCTCAACAGCCGTTAACGATATCATCGTTTTGCTTTTGCCCTCAGGTTGATTCATCCCATTCCTACCGCCAAAACCAGAACATGAGTGGAGGGTCATGGGAGCAAGAGTCCCAAAGGCAAATTGAATGGACAGCTCTCCGCCTTTCTAGATCCTTCCCCTGGCTTTTGAGTAGTCTGCTGTGTTGGGACCCAGCTGCCCAGTGGATTCCCTTTATTCAACTTTTGTTTTGGGGGAAGGGTTCCCCTTTCAACTCAACCAATCCAAAAAAGGATGCCCTTGTTTGCCCATGGCCACTGGGCATTTGAGGGGATTTGATTTTCACTCACCAGGAAACTCACGATTCCTCTTCTTTCTGGTCTGGTGTCATAGGGATTGGGGACGTTGGTGTTGGCAACGAATGGCTGACATTGATCGCGCTTTGTCTTCCGCTGAAAGACTTGAGTTACAAAGTGCCTGTTAGACAGATGAAGGTGGATGTGCACTTGCCCAGTGGAGATGGTTGCTCCGTAGCAATTTCACTGGAACGGCCCATCAGCGAGCTGAAGGCTGCAGCTCAGCAACATTTTCAGCGCCGGTTGAAGCTCACTGCGAAAGGCCAGCAGCTCGATTTAAATGCCACGCTGAGTGATGCCGGGCTGCGAGATGGAGATGTGGTGCTTGCGGTTGTGCAGCTGGGCAAAGTGGCTATCACTGGTGAGGCGTTCGCTTGGCATGGCTGCGGGGGCGAGGTTGTGACCTGGGGTAATGGAGACGATGGCGGAGACAGCAGCCGGGTGCAGGAGCAGCTGAGGAACGTTCAGCACATCCAAACAACTGGCCGTGCTTTTGCTGCCATTCTTGAATCTGGGGCTGTTGTGACCTGGGGTGATCCAGAGCACGGCGGAGACAGCAGCCAGGTGCAAGAGCAGCTGAGGAACGTCCAGCACGTGCAAGCAACTACCCGGGCTTTTGCTGCCATTCTTGAATCTGGGTCTGTTGTGACCTGGGGTGATCCAGATTATGGCGGAGACAGCAGCCAGGTGCAAGGGCAGCTGAGGAACGTCCAGAGTATCCAAGCAACTCGCTACGCTTTTGCCGCCATTCTTGAATCTGGGTCTGTCGTGACCTGGGGTGATCCAGAGCGTGGCGGAGACAGAAGTGAGGTGCAAGAGCAGCTGAGGAACGTCCAGAGCATCCAAGCAGCTGGCCATGCTTTTGCTGCCATTCTTGAATCTGGGGCTGTTGTGACTTGGGGTGATCCAGAGAACGGTGCAGACAGCAGGCAGGTGCAAGACCAGCTGCGGAACGTCCAGCGCATCCAAGCAACTCCTTACGCTTTTGCTGCCATTCTTGAGTCTGGGTCTGTTGTGACCTGGGGTGATCCAGATTATGGCGGAGACAGCAGCCAGGTGCAAGAGCAGCTGAGGAACGTCCAGCACATCCAAGCAACTGGCGATGCATTTGCTGCCATTCTTGAATCTGGGGCTGTGGTGACCTGGGGTGAGCCAGAGCGTGGCGGAGACAGCAGCCGGGTGCAAGAGCAGTTGAGGAACGTTCAGCACATCCAAACAACTGGCCGTGCTTTTGCTGCCATTCTTGAATCCGGGGCAGTTGTGGCCTGGGGTGATCCAGAGCACGGCGGAGACAGCAGCCAGGTGCAAGAGCAGCTGAGGAACGTCCAGAGCATCCAAGCAACTGACCATGCTTTTGCTGCAATTCTTGAGTCTGGGTCTGTTGTGACCTGGGGTGATCCAGATTATGGCGGAGACAGCAGCCAGGTGCAACAGCAGCTGAGGAACGTTCAGCACATCCAAGCAACTCACGCTGCCTTTGCCGCCATTCTTGAATCTGGGGCTGTTGTGACCTGGGGTTTTCCAGAATATGGCGGAGACAGCAGCCAGGTGCAACAGCAGCTGAGCTTGAATCCGGGGCTGCTGTAATACGGCGCAAGTTCCAGCTTTAAAAAATGCTCCGAAAGTGGCAAACAACAGGGGAGCATAATTTGGCATCCTAGCGAGCTTATTTTTCTTTGCCTGTGTTCGCACAGTTGAAGAAAGCATCCTGATTGGACAATGAGTTTGGAAACAAAAGGGTTCGGGTTGATACAGTATTGGTAGTCGCATGGGGCCAGACATTCAAGCCAAGGTGAGGGTAGATGAATACGTGCTTGAAAGAGGAAGAGGGCTGGATTTATAGGTCAGCTTTCAACGCATCCCCCTTTGGCCATGTAGGGGGTTCTAGCTTGGCGGACCTTATGCGCATCTGTATGGCACCTTGGTGCAACAAGTCAATGGACCTCCATGCAAAGCCGGGGATCAAACAATATCAGCCATGATAGCAGGATACCTTTCTTCCATCTGCTTAATATTGTTTTGTTTTTTCCTGTTGGTTTTGAAGGGAGTCTATCACTATTGGAAATATGTCACGAAAGCACTAGCTGGAGTTCTTCTACCTAAGCTTTGCTTAGCAATCAGGGGGTGTGGGGGGCGGGCCAAAATGCCTGGGGCATTATTTTTTTTTAAAGCGGAATGGGGGGCTTGGACTTGCCTGTAAAGCTGACCGATTTGAAACACTACAGCCTGTACCGTTGCAACTCTTTTGCGCAAAAGAAATGCGCCCGGTGGCTGACTGATTAGAAGCCGCCGGCCGGCCCGAAACGGCAACAGGAGAGCCCGAACGAGGCTCCAGAGCACGAAATCAGCACTTTTGGGCGGCTCCCGTCGAATCCGTGCGTTTCGGGCCTTGTTGTGGGCCTCCTTCGCGCTCTCGCCGGCCGCCCGAAACAGCAACGGGCAACGCTCGATCAGCGCTTTTGGTCCGTGCGTTTCACGTATGCTCCCCTGCTGCTTCTCCAGGCGTGGCGCGGCCCAGGCTCGAGCCGCAGACCTTTGCGCAAAAGCCGCGTGCTTGAACCACTACGCCCCGGGCTCCCTTTGCTCCCGTGGCTCCCGTTGCCAATCCGTGCGTTGCAGTTTTGCGCTCTTGCCAGCCAACGCGCCAAAACGGCAGCGGAGCACCGAATCAGCACTTTTCGGCGGCTCCGTTGCGAATATGCGTGCTTCCGGCTGTTCTGGGCCTGCCGTTGCAGTTTTGCGCGCTTGCCGGCCGACGGCCCAAAACCGCAGAACGGAGCACCAAATCAGCGTTTGACGGCGGCACCCGTGTGCTGTTTCTCCAGGCGTGGCGCGGCCCAGGCTTGAGCCGTGGACCCATGCGCAAAAGCCGCGTGCCCGAAGCACTGCGCCGCGGGCTCCTGGGCACTCGAGCGCTGGCCTGCTAGTGCCCCCCTTTGCTGAACCGTGGCGAGAGGGCCCGAACAAGGCCGAAACGCATCAAATCTGCGAATCCGCGCGTTTCGGGCCCCTCCCGTTGCAGTTTTCGGCTCTCGGCCAACGGCCCGGGAGATCAGCAATTTTTGGCGGCTCCCGTTGCAGTTTTGCACGGCCGGCTGATGGCCCAAAACAGCAACGGGAGAGCCCGAACGAGGCACGTCAGTTCTTTTGGGCGGCCGTCCCGAATCCGTGCGTTTCGGGCCTCGTTGTGAGACTCCCGTTGCAGTTTTGCGCTCTCGCCGGCCGACGGCCCGAAACGCCCAAATTGGCAACGGCACAGCCTGAACGAGGCTGAAACCCATATAGACGTTTTTTTCTGTCCATACGCCTTGAGCCATAAAAAAAAGGCCATACGGTCATTTACGGCTGTTTGTCAACAATTTGTTGAACAAATACGGGTTGCATACGGCCAAATACGGCCACCGGTTAGCAAAAAATGACCATACGGGAAAAACGATCCAAATATGGGTTCCGTCCAAAAAAATGGCCAGGGTGCCAAATCAGCAGCGGCGGCGAATCCGTGCGTTTCGGGCCTCGTTGCGGGCCTCCCGTTGCAGTTTTGCGCGCTCGCACAAAAAGGCAACGGGAGAGCCCGAACGAGGCTCCAGAGCACGCTCCCGTTGCTAATCCGTGCGTTTCGGGCCTCGTTGCGTCCCAAAACGGCAGCAAAGCGGTTCCGTTGCGAGTCTGCGTGTTTCCGGCCTCGTTCTGGGCCTGCCGTTGCAGTTTTGCGCGCTTGCCGGCCGACGGCCCAAAACGGCAACGGGAGAGCCCGAACGAGGCTCCAGAGCGGGCCTCGCTGTGAGCCTCCCGTTGCAGTTTTGCGGGCCTCGTTCTGGGCCTCCCGCTGCAGTTTTGCGTGCCGGCCGACAGCCCAAAACGGCAACGGGAGAGCCGGCCCGTCGCAAATCCGTGCGTTCAATGGGAGAGCCCGAGCGAGGCTCCAGAGCGCCAAATCAGCGCTTTACGGTGGCACCCGTTGCGAATCCACGCCGTAGCAAAAAACCTCGCGATCTCTTGCGCTTCCGTCACTTGCTGCCCCCTTGCGCATTGCATTCACTTCTCTCTCGCACAATGCTTTCGTTCGCCTCACTCAAGTTTTGTTCCAGGGGTCTTAACCAAATGGAAGCTTTGATCCAGTTTGGAACTCTAATATGTACCAGACCCCCGCGTGTACTCGTCAGACTACATCGGCGGGCTTTGGATCATGGCCCATACTTCGGGAGTTGGCTAAAGTGAGCACTTTGCTCAACAAGCTCGGTCAAACCTATTCATTACGAGTTCAGACTCTAGACCCGCAGCTTTTGATTGTGTGAACGCACGGATAGGCCAATTCAATTCCAGTTGTTGATTGTATGTTCATATGAGAACGGTCCCCTGCCAACCATAAATGCATGCTTTTGGGGAGAGGCTGGTGGGGGTGATTCCCATATTCCCATATTCCCTACAGAGCACTAGCAAGACGTCCAAGCCTCCAAATGCCAGGAACCTAACAGACCACAAACAAGGGTTCAAACATTCACCCCCACCCCCACCCCCACCCCCACTCAAACGACCCTTGTGCATAACCTAGAAATTCCTTTCCCTTTTAAAAGACACAAAGGACAAGAACCCCCTTGAGTGTGTTCCTTAGGTGTCCTTTTTACACGACCCAAGAGACAAGTCCAGTTCGGAACATGCCAGGAGCTACAAGAGCTCTATCCGGAGGCGCCCGATGGGGTAGCGATGAAGGGAATCGCATCTTTCTTGACCAAAGAGCTTTACCATGGAAACCCTGGTTTTTCAAAAATACCCTAAGAAAATTCGGTATCTGGAGTAGGGGGTAGTTTGCCGTCCAAGCATCCAACCATCCAACCAACCAAGATGTCGTCTAAACGGTGAATCAGTTGATCCCAGCCGACAGCCAAAGGCCCATTCTGTGTAATGTTGGCCCCATATTAATGCACCCCCAGTTTATTAATACGGGGTGTTTTTTTCTCCAAAAGGGATGATTCCCCACATTTCCCCACTGAATCCGGGGACACCCCCCAAGAAAATATACAGCGGTTGATTAATATGGGGTCAACATGGCTGCATGATGCTTCCGGGACATCACCCATGTTTAAACTCTCAAGGTCTTGAGAACCGTCCCGGACTAGATGGTTTCTCGGGGTAGGGGTCCTTGGTTCCATTGCAGTTAGAAAATTGGAATTCCACATTTTAGTGCCAGTTACAATATGTTTGTTGTGTTGCGGGTAGAATATGGGGATCACACATTTCATGGCAGTTGTCAATGCTGCACCTGAGGTTCCCACCATAAAGTCAGTATTGCCAATGCTAAATCTAGTATTGGCAAGAATTGGCCTTGGGTTCCCACTACTGAACTCACTATTGCACATGCTAAATGCAGTGTTAGTCAATACTTAATCTTCGGTTCCTACTACTATCTCAGTGCAGTCAATACTAAATTTAGTATTGTCAATGCCTAGTCAAAGGCCCCCACCAGTGAACTCGGTATTGCGAATACTAAATGCCATGTCACTACCTAATCTTAGGTCCCCGCTACTAAACTCAGTATTGCCAGTACGAAATTTAGTATTGTCAATACTTAATCTTAGGTTCCAATACATCCCCAACATTCAACCTGCGAAAATAACATGGAGGGGGTTACATGTTACACGGACGGCTCAAGTTGTGTTGCAGTTCGGCGATGGACATTTCATGGAGTTCGAATACGGTCGGGGCAAGCACTCCATACTCTGGCTGCAATAGTAAGTATGCTACCTGCCAGCCTACAGGAAAGCCCAAACGACCTTTTTCAGGGGTCCCCATTTCCCCATTGGGTGGTTCTAAACATCACCTATTTGCCCATTTGCAGTGAGTTTCCCTTGGTAGGGGTGATGTGTTAAGGGAAAATATAGAGAACCCTGTGTTTCGCGCAAGAAATCGATGCACTTTGATCAGTTTGCCGGAGTCGCGCAGGCTGAACATGACAGGCACTGCTGATGTGGATCTGGCTTCAGCTGAAGAACTTCAGTCGCAAAATGCAGTTTGGACAGCTGGGACAGTCCTCACAGGGGGGACAGTTTAAGAGCCAGAAAGGTTGTGTCTGAAGGTTTAAGGCCTTGCAAACAGTGGGGAACCCTTCAACAGCCATTCAAACCGGGATCCACCTCATCTGATTACATGTGTTTGTGTTTCTGGTTCCTGTGGAGCAATTTGAATACACCCGGCGCCATGAAGGTGGATGTTAATTTGCCCAGTGGAGATGGTTGCTCCATAGAAGTCTCGCCAGCGACCCTCATCAGCGAGCTGAAGGATGCAGCACAGAAGCATTTTCAGCGCCGATTGAAGCTCACTGCGAAAGGGCGGCAGCTCGATTTGACGGCCACGCTGCGTGAGGCCGGGTTGCGAGATGGGCACATGGTGACTGCGGTTGTGCAGCTTGGCAATCTGGCTGCCACAGCCGGGGCATTTGCTCTGTATTGCCACGAGGGCGAAGCTGTGACGTGGGGAGATCCAGCATGCGGCGGAGACAGCAGCCAGGTGCAAGAGCAGCTGAGGAACGTTCAGCACATCCAAGCAACTCGCACTGCTTTTGCTGCCATTCTTGAATCTGGGGCCGTTGTAACGTGGGGTGATCCAGAATGCGGCGGAGACAGCAGCCAGGTGCAAGATCAGCTGAGGAACGTCAAGCACATCCAAGCAACCGGAGGTGCTTTTGCTGCCATTCTTGAATCTGGGTCTGTTGTGACCTGGGGTGATCCCGCATGCGGCGGCGACAGCAGCCAGGGGCAAGAGCAGCTGAGGAACGTCCAGAGTATCCAAGCAACTTACTGTGCTTTTGCTGCCATCCTTGAATCCGGGGCTGTTGTGACCTGGGGCTCCGGCTTAGGCGGAGACTGCAGCCAGGTGCAAGAGCAGCTGAGGAACGTTCAGCACATCCAAACAACTGGCGGTGCTTTTGCTGCCATTCTTGAATCTGGGGCTGTTGTGACCTGGGGTGATCCAGAGCACGGCGGAGACTGCAGCCAGGTGCAAGAGCAGCTGAGGAATGTCCAGAGCATCCAAGCCGGTGGTGCATTTGCTGCCATTCTTGAATCTGGGGCTGTTGTGACCTGGGGTGAGCCACATGATGGCGGAGACAGCAGCCAGGTGCAAGATCAGCTGACGAACGTTCAGCACATCCAAGCAACCGAGCGTGCGTTTGCTGCCATTCTTGAATCTGGGTCTGTTGTGACCTGGGGTGATCCCGCATGCGGCGGAGACAGCAGCCAGGTGCGAGAGCAGCTGGGGAACGTCCAGTGTATCCAAGCAACTCCCTACGCTTTTGCTGCCATTCTTGAGTCTGGGTCTGTTGTGACCTGGGGTGATCCAGGATACGGCGGAGACAGCAGCCAGGTGCAAGAGCAGCTGAGGAACGTCCAGCACATCCAAGCAACTGGCGATGCGTTTGCTGCCATTCTTGAATCCGGGGCGGTTGTAACCTGGGGTGATCCAGAATACGGCGGAGACGTCAACCAGGTGCAGGAGCAGCTGAGGAACGTCCAGAGCATTCAAGCAACTTGCGGTGCTTTTGCTGCCATTGTTGAATCTGGGGTTGTTTTGACCTGGGGAGTTCCAGCATGCGGCGGAGACAGCAGCCAGGTGCAAGAGCGGCTGAGATCGAGTCTGGGGCAAATCTGACCAAAGAGTGTGCTGGAAGAAGAGTGGGACTCCACAATTGTTGCTTAGAGTTAGAGCTGGGGTGAAGCTACCCGCCGGTAGAGTTGAGCAAAAGTCAACATTCACCATTTGCCGCTGTATTCAAGAGAATGACTTGAATGTGCTTGTGGGTGCTTGCGTGTGTTTGTGTGGCGTTGTGTGAATGTACCTTTTAGATTAATCTGAAAGGGAGGCGTCATGGATGCTTGGGAGAACCCGTCGCCTTGCGCTCGCAAACGGGGACCTAGAACCGAAGGCCACTGGCGTGGCCGAAGCCGTTTGGCCACCTCTATCCGACCCCTACTTGGGCAACGGACATTGCCAGTCCACTGGGAAGGACCAGCTTAGATACAGGGAGGGAGAGAGTTACATAGGTATTTACTTGCAAATGGAGAGTTCTTTGTATAGATGCAGAGTGTTTTTTGTGCATACGTAGAGAGACCTGGGTTTATAGATAGAGAGAGATAATGTTAACAGAGACATTTTGGATGGTTATATAGATAAGGGTAGAGATCTAGGTATGAACATAGAGAGAGAGAGAGAGAGAGCGGAAGTTGGACAGAGAGAGACGTACTTTTTTGAGAAAAGTATTTAGAGAGAGGGAGAGAGAGAGCGAGTGAAACATGGCTTTTCCACCAAAATAAAGGAACACCCCCATTTACAAGGCAATGCTCAGGTGTATAATGTAAGGATCCCTGAAATGCTTTGTTCATTTGATTCTGCTTGTTGCCCAAGTTGCATGTGCCGAATGTTCGGAGTTGAGTGGTGGTTGATTGCCTGAGCACACAGACAAAAGCTGACAGCTCCCCCCTCTCTTTGCCGCCCTCTCCGGCGCGCTAAGCCAAAATGGCCGTCTTCATGAGCGGCGAGGAGGTTGCGGATGATGAATCTCGGGTGAACTACCGAATCGCTTGGTTGATACATTTAGGGGGGGAGATCCTTCACGTTGAGAGGAAGTCCCCATTACCAAATTAAACAATCTTGTGTGGCGAAATACGGCGAACGTCGTTTGGGGCCTCAGGCACAAGGACCCTTAGGCCCTTCGGTATGGCCAAGAGGAAATCCCTTGGAGACCCCTGAGGTGATGAGCGAGGAGCAGCTGGCCCATTGGCGTTCGGAGTCCGAATCAGCGGCGGGGTTTCCCCCGACCTCGGATGAGCTTAGGCAGGAGGTGGCCAGGCCGCGGAAAATTGTGAATTTCCGGCGCCTGCAGTTGGTTTGCGACGGCGTCGTTGTGGGACCTGACAGCTCTATGGACGAATCTTTCAAGGGCGACTTCTTTGTTTATGTGCGCCCGTACGCGGATGTGGATTGGTATGCGCGTTTGTTTGGAGCCAACAATCATTTTGCTGAAGTTGTGCACCTCTTGGAGCATCCCCTGAATCCAGATGTTGTTGTTACCGATACAGGGCGCACGCTTTTGCATTTTGCTGCTGAGCATGGCAATCATGAAGCAGTGCGATGCTTGCTGGAAGTTGGTGCCAACAAGGACCCGGCTGACAGGCATTGGTGTACACCTCTGCATTTTGCCGCCCTCAATGGCGGTCACAAAGTGGTGCAAAGCTTGCTGGAAGCTGGTGCCGACAAGGACCTGGCTGACAAGGATTGGTGTACACCTTTGAATGTTGCTGCTGCGAATGGCCACGCGGAAGTGGTGCAAAGCTTGCTGGAAGCTGGTACCGACAAGGACCTGGCTGACGTGGATTGGTGAACACCTATGCATTTTGCTGCTGAAAATGGCCACGCGGAAGTGGTGCAAAGCTTGCTGGAAGCTGGTGCCGACAAGGACCTGGCTGACGTGGCTTGGTGAACACCTATGCATTTTGCTGCTGCGAATGGCCACGCGGAAGTGGTGCAAAGCTTGCTGGAAGCTGGTGCCGACAAGGAGCTGGATGACGTATATTGGAGAACACCTATGCATCATGCTGCTGCGAATGGCCACGCGGAAGTGGTGCAAAGCTTGCTGGAAGTTGGTGCCAACAAGGACCCGGCTGACAGGCATTGGTGTACACCTCTGCATTTTG